TGTGGAGAAATGGGCTGGGTCTGGCGCTTTGGAAACTGCCAGGGCTACGGTTACACTGAGGCCAAGGAGTCCCCGGCCGGGCATCAGCCTGCAGCTTCCCTGCCAATTTTGGAAGGGCCCTGGGTGGCGCCTTTTAATCGGAGACTATTTAGAACTGTCCCTCAAATCCTTGGGGTCGAGTGTGATTGCCTCCTGTTGGCTTGTGGCACCAGGAACCAGACGCAGAATTCTGAGGTTTATCTTAAGCGGTAGAACACCCCCCCACCACCACCACCACCACCATTCCAAGAGCATGAAGTTATTTACCCTGGAGTTGGAACTGTCGACGGACTTAAGGTCCAGGTTCTCAGACAATGCTTCCTGAAATGCTTTTCATACTAATTTTGCTTGATGAAAGTTAATCAGTTGAAAACCGGAGTAGGAGGCATTTTACACATGCTTTATTCGGTGCATTAGCGAAGTCTTAAGTAGATGTGGTGGAATACACTCGACAGAGCGGGTTATACAGATTAATCGGCTTGACTCTGCAGTCTGACAAACTGATTTAAGCTTCTGCACAGAAATTGCTCTTTTCCCCTCCCTTCTCCCGTGTACAAAGGGAACTTCGAAAAGTTCGTGGAAAAGTGTAAAGTATGAGTTTACTTTGGGTCAAAAAATTGAAGTCTATGTATAGTTTTTTTTTTTTTGGCTTTTTTTTGTTTTGTTTTTTATAATGTGCATTTTCTTCGAACTTTCTGAAGGGATCTGGGAGGGAAAAGAAATTAGTATCTCCTGACAAAGATAATTTTTCCAGTCATTTGGGAGGAGGGTTGGTAATGGGGGCTGTCTTGGACGGAACAGAAAGACTCCTGTGGTCACCATTGCTTTAATAGAAGTGTGTCCTCCGTCCCCCAACCCCTGCTCCCATGCACACACACACACACACTGGGTGGCTCTATTCAGTATAAGCTAACCAGTTCAGGAAATAATTCATTCTGTGTATTTTTTCCTGTATCTTGATGAAAATGCTTACATGGACGGATATGGCCAGACTCAGCTGTAACCAACAGAAATTTTAGCTATTAAATGTAGAGGTGGTGTGAAATACTGTCTCATATTCAGTTGTACAAAAGATAATGCCTAGAAATCAGAATGCTGTAATTAAAAGCTTTTTTAAGTGACTTCTTTAATCCATTGTTTATCATGAGAAAAGTGCCAGAAGATGCGTTTTATTGCATTCTGAGGAGGTAGAATTTAAGATATGAGGTGAAAGTTCAGTAAAATTATTTTCAGATTACTGCACTTTGTATTCATTGTAATAGTGATATCTTTAATGATTATATAGTGTTTTAGCTTGCAATAACTATGTGAAGGGCTCATTTGAGCAATCATGAAATATTGAAAGTTCCCTTTCTTGGGACTGTTTAATAATTCTTGATGCTAGTTTGTCTTTTGTCAAAAAAGTAGACTGGGCTTCCAACATGCTGTTTCCTATGAAAAAATAGATTGCCATATGAATCATTCTTCAAAATTTAGAACAGTTCTTCCAGAAAGTGTAACTAGTGTGGGTCTCTATTTACAGGTATGAAATGAAAATGGGATCTGGTAGTTTTAGTTGAATTTTAAACCTTTAGAATTCTTATATTTAAGCATGGGAAACTAATGGAACCTTTTGTTGTCATTGTTACAGATTTTATTTTGCTTTGTGTTTTTTCCATGAAAATACAAAGTTTGGGGCAGTGGCTGTCACTTAGTGTTCTGCTCATTATTATAGCATTTTCCTTAGTTCCTCCTTTACTACCAAGTACACAAGTACCTTATAAACTACTTGGGAAAATTCTAACATTAATGCTTTTCAGGTACATATTCTGAATATCTCAGAAATAATTTATTTTAATGTTCAGTATTGGCATACAACTGATTCATTATTTTTGAGAGCGAGATTTTTGCAGTTAGGACACGTGTACTCACCAGAGAGAGAGAGAGACAAAGTGAGAAATAACTCCCCAGTGGGGATGGCCATGCTGCAGTCCATTCTCCAGTCTCCTCTTAGGATTTTGGGCACGTTGGCTCACATACCCAGCGTGCATTTCAAGCTTCTGGGACCAGGACTTGAACCATGGTCAGCTTCCCAGGAGTCCAGCACTTAACCACCACATCACCTTCTGTCCCGATTTTCTTTTTCTTTTTTTTAAAGAGGTTTTTACCTTAAGGAGTGCTCACACAGGGGTTGGGGACATGGACATTGAGTAGAAAGTGAGAAATCACCTCGCGGTGGGGAGCAGGGAGGATTGGCCACACTGAAATCCCGTCTCTATTCTCCTCCCAAGATCTTGGGCATGGTTACACACTGCACAAGACCCGTGGGATTTTCAAGCCACCAGGTCTAGAACTCAGACCTGCAGTCAGCCATGTGGTACTCCAGCAACGTAACCACTATGCCCTCTGCTGGCCCCTCCTGGCCTAATTATTAGAAGAGAACTTGAGAGAAATATAACTACACTATTTATAAATTTATTGGTGGTAGTTATCTTGCTTTCGAGATCTATGAAGTATATCCGAGGTAGTTTTAACTTGCAGAGACTCATTTTTCTTATCTATTAAACGGGAATAAGTTAATAGGTTGCTACGTAAAATGAAATCATGTAAATGGAAACATGTTGAAACCATCCCTTAAGAAAACTATTGATACATTAGGTCAAAACATATTTTTGTATGCAGAAATGCATCATGACTTTTCCAACAACCCGATATATTGGTTAAAGATACCCTTAACTCTTTAGAGGAGTAGGTAAATTTTATTTGTGGGCCAGTTAATTTTATTGTAAATAAATGATATGAACTATGTGTGCACAATCTCTGCTTTTAAGGGCATTTTGAAGTTTAAAAAGAGATGATAGAGGGACCAACAGATGGAATAATGGTTATGTTGCTGAATTCCTACATAGTGTTCAAGTCCTGGACCTGTCAGCTTAATATTCATGCTGGGCTCATATGCGTACATGCCCAAAATCCCAAGAAGAGAATGGAGAAGGGATTGTGGCGTGGCCATCGTGATTTCTTGTTTTCTGTCTCTGTTTCTCTGGCAAGTGCACTCGCCCTATAGCAATAATCTCTTAAAAAGAACGAAATGATAGAAAGTACAGAGGAAAATGTAGGTGTGACTTCAAATTTTACCTTTTTTTTTTTTTTTATGTTTGCCATAGGGTAGATGTGTTTGCCAGAGACACAGAGAGTGAGAAGCATCTCCAATCCCCCAGGATGATGGCCACGCCACAGTCCCTTCTCCATTCTCTCCTCTGGATCTAGGGTACCTATATACATATATCTGGCATGATTTTCAAGTTTTCGGGTCTGGCACTTGAACTGCAGAGTCAGCCATGTGTACAGTGCCTTAATCTCTGTGCCACCTTCTGGCCTCAAATTTTAACTTCCAAAAAGCAGAATTAAAAGAGTAATCAGGGGCCAATACGTAATGTAGTGGTTAAGGCACTGGACTCCATGTGATTGGCCATGGCTTGAGTCCAGATCTAGCAGCTTGAAACTCCAGCCGGGCGTGTGTTGTGCGCATGTGGCCAAAATCCAGAGAGAATGGAGGAGATGGCATTGCAGCATGGCCATCTCCCCTGGGGGTGATTTCTCGCTTTCTGTTTCTCCAGTAAGGGCATACACCATATAGCAAAAATCTTTTTTTGGGGGGGAGGTTTTCGCTATAGGGCGTGTGCACTCGCCAGACAGACAGAGAGAGACATAGAGACAGAAAGCAAGGTCACGCCGCAATCCCTTCTCCTCCATTCTCCTCTCAGGATCTTGGGCACACACGCACCCGGTGTGAGTTTTAAGCCACCGGGTCCGGGACTCGAACCGCATTTGACTACGTGGGAGTCCAGCTGCATAGCCATTACGCTAACTGCTGATTCCCTATAGCAAAAATCTTTGAAAAATAAAAAAAGTAATCATTGGGAGGCCAGCAGGTGGCATGGTGGTTAAGGCACTAGAACTTCCATCTGGTTTGAGTCCTGGACTACCTGGTGGCTTGATTTCTCACTCTTACTCACTCACTCTGTCTCTGGTGAGCACACATGCCCTATAGCAATTTTTTAAAAAAATAATAATTTAAATTTTTAAAAACTAAGAAATGATTTAAGCATTATCATACAACTGATATCTTCCCCTCACCCCCATTAAAGTGGTTTTAATAAATGTAAATGGGAAAAGTTGACAATGTAAATGGAGAAAATTGAAAAAGGAACTTAAATGTCTTTCTGTGTATGAGTTATACAAGGATGAATAACTTCAAAATAATTGAAGTGGTATTGAGTAACAATGTTTCATTGGAAAAATCAATAGAGTATACAGCTGATTTTTCTTTAAGGAATTTTTGTAATAGGTTAGTAATTTCAGTCTAATCTACTAGAGACTGCTGGTTTTACGCTTACTGGTTTAATCTATAATCATCCCTTGAATTTTGTGATTCAAGTAAATTCAGAAAAGTAGTTTGGGCCCTAATTTGAAAAGATAGTTGCATATTTAACTACTGTACAAATATACATGTTCCTCATGAATTTGAAAATAACTTTTTTTCTTCTTCTCTCTTTTTCTTTTAAACAGCAGTTTTGTGGTGTTCTTGGTCACACATTTATGGAGTTTCTGAAGGGCAGTGGAGATTACTGCCAGGCACAGCACGATCTCTATGCAGACAAGTGAACTGTAGAAATTGATTACTACTCCACCAAGAAGCCCCCCTAAGCGTGCTTAACCTGGACACAGAAGTTGAATTGAGATCTGCAGAGCATTTTACAAGAGTTCTGACCTGGATGGGGTAAACCTCAGTGCACTTCCTTTCCATTGCCTCAGTATTACTGGATTGAAGAATTGCTGCTTCTTGTTAGGAGGTTCATTTCATTTGTCATTACTGTCAACTTCATACTCAAAGCACTGAGAATTTCAAGTGGAGTATATAGAAGTAGACTTCAGTTTCTTTGCATCATTTCTGTATTCAGTTTTTAAAATTCTATCATAACCCTATTGAGTGTTTTTTAACTAAATTAACATGGCTCGAATGAACCGCCCAGCTCCAGTGGAAGTCACATACAAGAACATGAGATTTCTTATTACACACAATCCAACCAATGCGACCTTAAACAAATTTATAGAGGTAAGATTTGATCATTTTTACTACCTTAAATTGATTAAAATGTAATGGCGGGGCTTAAAGCTAACAAAATATCTCCTACTTTAGAAAATATGAGATGGTAAATTTATAGTTCTAGGGGCTAGCAAGTGGCATGGTAGTTAAGGTCTTGGACTCCCACGTGGCTAGGTGCAGTTGGAGTTTCAGACCCAGCGGTTTGAAACTCGTGCCAGGGATGCATGCTTGCGTGCATGCCAACATCCTGGGAAGATAATGGAGAAGGGATTATAGCATGGTTATCCCTCCAGGGAATGATTTCTCGCTTTCCCTTTCACTGTCTGTCTCTCTTCAGCAGGTGTATGCACCTATGGCAAAAACCTTTTTAAACAAAAAATAAAAACAAAACTATAGTTCCAATTCCCAGAAAAGAAATATTAAATGTTTTCCTTTGAGTTAGAAATAAGTTATTTTATCTATTTGGAGAAGAACATTTGCTTGAGTGAGGATCTTTAAGTTAAAACTTAGTTTTTCATGCCTCTGGGTTTGCTAAATGTATATATGGACCGTATGTACACACATGTGCGAGAGCGAGAGGGTAGGAGCACCCAGCCTGTTGGATCTTGAGCATTCATGTGCATGCCCCATGTATTTCAGGCCACTCTGTATTACCTCATACGAAATGTATAGGTGGAAAACCACCATTATGGATTGTTCATTTATCTGTTTTACCTAATGATCAGTGCCACAAACCAACGTTAATTTGTGTCTTGGAGCCAATTTGTTGCATATAATTCCATTTTCAGCTACTAATTCTGCTGCTTCTGCTGGTGACTACATAGATAAAACTGTTTCACAGCCTTTATTTAATTTTATTTTAAATTTGCTTTGTTTTAATTTGACCAGAGAGAGAGGAGGAAAGTGAGAAAGCAAGCATTCAAACTATGGTCAGCCATGTGAGAGTGTCCACACCTTAATCACCATGCCACCTGCTGGCTCCTCACAACCTTTTTTCACAGTACGAGGGAGGAATGTGATGGTGACTGTTTTATCTGGATACATGCACATTTTATTTAATAAAATCTACAGATAATTAAGAGACAGATGGGTCCTTTAGTTATAGGTTATATTTTAATGGGGATGTTTTGATTACCATCTATGTTTAAGTAACGGGAGAGTTATAGTAATGAATTTTAAAGCCTGTAAGGTCTCTTGAAGCCTGTAGCTCTAAATGGCATGTTACTTTTTTATAGACATTTTCATGATTTTTGAATGTTTAATGTACTATACTTTGTATTTAAGTAAAAGTTTAGGAAATTGGTAGTATTAGTCAAGTCACATTGATTGTGTGACTAGTTGTGAATGATTCCATTGGTTTATCTTTGTTCTTGTTTTCCCCCCTTCTTCCTAGTGTTTCATCTCAGTTCGCCTAGTGTTACCATGACTGTAAAAAAATAACTCAGTATCTGAAGGGGGCATGTGATTTAAAAAGAAAACTTCTAATTTATTAAATATATATGTATTGTTTACCATTTTCTTTTATACTATTTTAGCATTAGCATTTGAACAAAGATTAGCTTCTGTGTTATAGGTTCTATAATTCTTTCCATAATTTTCTGTTAACTAGCCTACCTGTTTTTCTTTTTAAATTATTTATTTACTTTTATTCATTCATTCTTATTTTTTTTTCCTTCACTATAAGGCGCATGCGCGCGCCAGACAGAGACATAGAGACAGAAAGCGAGAAATCACCCCCCAGGGCAGATGGTCACGCCACAATCCCTTCTCCTCCATTCTCCTCTCAGGATCTTAGGCATGCACACATACGTGCCTGGCGTGAGTTTTAAGCCAATGGGTCCAGGACGCGAACCACGGTCGACTACGTGGGAGTCCAGTGACATAGCCATTATGCTAACTGCTGGTTCCTTCATTTTATTTTCATTTGACCAGAGAGAGACACAGAGAGAAAGAAGGAAAGTGAGAAAGCAAGCCACCAGGTCCACTACTCGAACCCTGGTCAGCCATGTGGGAGTGTATACCGCCTTAACCACCACGCCACCTGCTGGTCCCAACCAGCCTACCTTTTAATGAGAGATGATCAGAGTGACATGGTGATCAGTGGTAGTGTCATTATGAAGACTTAGCAGTTTGTTTTGTTTTTGTTTTGATATATGTTTTATCCAGGAACTTAAGAAGTATGGAGTTACCACAATAGTAAGAGTATGTGAAGCAACTTATGACACAACACTTGTGGAGAAAGAAGGCATCCATGTTCTCGTAAGTATGAACAGTTCTTGTATGTTTATATAAAATTTTGTACTACAAAAGTGTACTTAAATAAACTGTAGGCCATAAAAATCTTAAAATTATAAATTGTTGAAACATTACACAGTATCTTAACTTCCAAATAAAGTGGTGACAGATAAGTAAAGGTGTGAAGTGAATAAAAGGTCTTTGCAGAGCATTAGTAACGTTTCATTGACAATGGGATTTAATAAAATACATAATTAAACATTAAAATAAAAATGTTGTTGAAAACATATTTGAACATCAGAAATTTAGAATTATTAGTATTGTATTTATATTAAAGCGTCAAACTATTATCCTTTTGATTTAGGATTGGCCTTTTGATGATGGTGCACCACCATCCAACCAGATTGTTGATGACTGGTTAAGTCTTGTAAAAATTAAGTTTCGTGAAGAACCTGGTTGTTGTATTGCTGTTCATTGTGTTGCAGGCCTTGGGAGGTAAGAGATTAATTAATTTAGTTAAATAAAAATCAGACTTGATATGAAAATACTAATACTTCATACATTCCACTAATTGTTTTAACAAGGTCACACTTCACTGTGGATATTATTTAAATAGGAAGGGTGGTGGTTAATACTCTGGATTGGGGGGTGTCTGCAATGATGAGTTCTCCAGATTTTGGTTTTGAAAAAAATGATGTATCAAAAATTTTTACCTTACCAGAGCTCCAGTGCTAGTTGCCCTAGCATTAATTGAAGGTGGAATGAAATATGAAGATGCAGTACAATTCATAAGACAGTAAGTAATGGGTTCTTTTTTTTTTTTCTCTATTGGTACTTGATTGTCAGTAAGTTTAGGTATATTACTAGTTGTCCATCTGACCATTATGGTCATTTCTTAAGATAGTATTGAAACTGGAAAATAAAGATCTAAACATCTTTTTTGCTTTCCATGTTGATACTTATCTTACTAACATTCTAATCCATGTACTTGCCAAAAAGAGACAGAAACAGGGGGAGAAAGCATCTTTCAGTGGGGCTTTTGTATAAGTGGATTAATGAAGTTTGACTATTATAATCACCATTCAGAAGATTTAGAAAATCAGCTTTTACTGTCCTTTCTTCATTCGTACATGTATTGTTATCTATATTCCTTCTGATTAAGTCACAGTCTAATAATCAGAAGTTAAATCACCATAAGAGAGTTAATAGTAGTTCATAGCACACTGAACATTACTCTAGAGGGTTTTTTGCTTTAATTGCTTCATTTTTTTTTTTTTTTCTTTCAGAAAGCGGCGTGGAGCTTTTAACAGCAAGCAACTTTTATATTTGGAGAAGTATCGTCCTAAAATGCGGCTGCGCTTCAAAGACTCCAATGGTCATAGAAACAACTGTTGCGTTCAATAAAACTGCAGGGCTTGATGCTATTCCCTTGGAAGTGGAACTTGAGACAGGACCGGATTTGTCATACGTATTAGCCAACGTGTTGGCTTGGTGAAAAAGTCTAATGAAGCTTCCATGGGAGTATTGAAAAAGCAGTTTTACCAGGCTGCAAAGCTTGACAGAATTACAACCTCTATTTTAAGGTTATAATCAACCTATTTGGACACTTAACAAAAGATTCTTGCTGTTGAGCATTTAAAATGTGCTTATTATTTGTACCAATTGACCCTTCCTGAAATCATGCGGTATTGAGTTATGTCTTTAAGTCTATTCCCATGCCAGAATCTTATCAATATGTAAGAAATTTAGAAAGATTAGGTGCCAAAATACCCAGCACAATACTTGTATATTTTTAGTATCATACAGAACTAAAGTCCCAGGAACTACAAACACTTTAGACCTTGTATGGTTTATTCCTTCAGTCATTTCAAACATTTCAAGTAGGGCCTGTGTGGTTATTTGCCTGCTCTCTTTATGTTTCCATCTCCCACATTCGTACCAGTGTACGTCAGGTTTGTTTTAACCATTGTGTTTTGTTTCATTTTCCTTTAATTTTCACCAAGTATTATGGTGATAATTTCATGTCTTTTTCAAAATCTCATTTTGTGCTGTTATAGAAAACCTTCATTTTGAAATTCTACATTGTACAGAAGCACAGCTCTAATGTCTCCGGACAAAAAAGAAAGCCTTACAATTAGGTTAATGTCTGTATTCTGAGGTGCAGCTTAACAGGGAAGGCCTGAAAAAAGAACTGAAGGGGGCTATTAAATATTCTTAGTAAAATGTTACCTTTGTCTTGTGCAGAACATGTAGAATATGCTCTTTAATTTAGTAAATATTTTTTTAAAGGTAGAAATGCTTTGTTGTTGTAGCTAAAACAATTCTTAATCATAAAATTTCTGAAATTCTTATTTTGTTCCATACTTAATGGAAGTTTACCAACTTTTTTTGTTTGAAGTGATTTTTTTTCTTTCCAACCTCTTGCAAAAAAAAAAAAATAGGTTTCTGCTAATGAATCAAGCAGATATCTAATATTTTATATGCCTTTTGAGCTGTGTAACTTAATATTTGGATACTTGATAATTTGTTTTATTATGTAATTGATAAAATGGTGATGTGTATTAATGTTAGTTCAACCATATATTTATACTGTCTGGGAATGTGTGGTTATAGTTCTGTGGGAGAAATAATTTGTCAGTGTTCACCAGCTTGTAAAAACTTAGTGCGAGAGCTTAAACATCTAAATAAATAATGAAATGCATTTATCATTGAGATTGTTTTGCTTAAAGTTAACTTATTGTAGAAAACAAAATGAATTGCACCTCACTTCATGCCATTTGATGCGGTGTGTCCTCTTTTTTGTTTTTAACAAATGAAGGATTAAATGAATTCATTTTATTAAGCTTATAGGCAGTTTGTTAGGGTCATGAGAGCTGTTTAATGCTAAAAATGCTTTCCATTATAAACTTTAAAAGGTCTAGGTAATTTTGAACCAATTTTTTATTTGTACTGAAGAAAAAAGTAGGAAGGCCTTGATTTTTAAAGCTTAGTTTCACTAATTTTTGGTTTTGTACAGCTTAACTTCTGAGCCCATTTTAATTTACTTGCAAATTAACAATTACATAACCATAGATTTTGAAATTAATTTGTAGATTTTGAAATTAATTTGAATATGTCTTTGTACATGAAGGCTTAATAAGTTTCTTTTAGTAATTTTAAATACTTTGTATACTTCCATGTTGATCCAAAAGAAACAGATGTTCTAGTCTTTTTAAGAGCAATTACAAATGTAAAAGCCTCAGTTTGAGTTAAAAAGTATGTTTTAAATCATTTATTTCCATCTCTTTATGCCTGTTTAGTAATATACTTAATGAAGTAATATACTTAATTACTTAATGAAGTAATATACTTCATTTTTTAAATTTAGCCAGGGTGCAGAAGGAAAGAGAGAGGTCTCTGGAATCCCTTGGTTCTTTAAACTTTAGATTCTTTGTGACCAGGGTTATTTAATCTGAGCTATTCACATTTTTTGTTCATTTTCCCCCAATACAGCCTACTCTTGAAGAGCAGATAATTTTGTGCAATAGGTTTACCAAATGATATACTATGACCACAGTCCATAAAGTAGCATTTGCTTTTATTGAGAGGAGGAGGTGCCATCATGATTAATGAAAAATATCTTTTGAGTTTGAAAGGTTAAATTCATTTGCAGTGTTGGATTGTGCATATTGGTGCTAAAAACCAATTTACTTTATAAACCTTACTTGTACAGTATATAACATACAAGATTTGCTTTTTAAAACCCAAATATTTTATATTTTGTAAATATGCCTTATTATAGGAATACCTGTAATACATCCTAAAAGATCACTTATATCTCATAAGAACTTAGAGCTATGAGTTGAAATCTTGAATGCAGTTATCAGATGTGTTCTAAAAATTTGGTCATTTGGATTTGAATGCCCTCAGTGGGATGATGTAAATAGTGACTAGTTGCCTAGGCTTTGTCTGCAGGAGCCATAGTGTTGCTGACAGAAGTAATGCAATTACCAACACATTAAAAAAAATGCATTCTCTTTTTAGTTGAAGGGAAATTCTAGAAATAGGTGCCATTGATCATTTTGCAGTACAGTGCAACTTTCATTTATTGTTCCTCCTAATGTCCATTTCCTCGGGTGGTGTTCCCCTATTCCCATGCCTTCACACAGCTCTCCATACACAAAAGCAGCCAGCCCAGGCATGCAGTCACATCCTGTCACAACCCGCTTCCAGAGCACTTGGGAATGATATTGTGGTTCTCGAACTAGGCTGCAGAATCTCAGTCTCTATGGTCTATTTGAAAATGTAGTATTCATATGATAAATGTACTGTTTGTCGGGCATTTAGGAGTATGGCAGAGATTTTTAAAAAAACATGGCATCACCATGTTTTGGTCACCAATGTGTATCCCTACCCTTGCCATAATGAAGAGAATTCTATTGGAGTTTCAGGAAGTGTAATTGGTTGAAAATACTTCAAAAGGAAGTGGGAGTATTAGCAACAATATATTTTTCTTTTACATGTAAACAGTGAAGTTCTTTTAAAGTAATTTTTAAAAATACATGAAGTAGTGTCTGCTGAACATGTTTATATTCCACATTCTTGATTCCTTGAATTAATGTTCATGTGTATATATGTGCCTCCTTACACTAAACTGAAAATTAAAGACTGGTTTAAAAGTGTCTGACACTTGATGTTTCTGCATTATATTTGGGAAAACCAGCCTAAGCAGAATCTAGGGAGGAAAATAAGGGAAAATTTGTAATTGCCTTCAATTTATTAGGCCAGTTATGTGCATTAAAGTATGAATAGAAGGATTGAAAGTAAAATTTATAATTTGATACATATTGCCAGACTAACCAGTTGATTAATTAGCAATTATGATAGTTACCATTTATCAATCCTACTGTTGTAATTTTCATAATTTGGTTCCCTTCCAGTAATTCTTAGTTTCCCAAAGAGATTTGAGCCTCCATTTAGGGGAGTAGCCAGGTAAGTAGTAGAACTCAAGTGACTCACGTTTTGTTTGATCCTGTCTATGAATATGAGAGGACTTCAAATGTGAAAAAGTCAAATTAAAGCACAAGCATATTTTGGTGCCAAAAATATTTTAAATTCATCCATACTAGGATCAGCAGATGTAGTAATGGTTACATTGCTGGACTCCAACATAGTTGTGGTTCAAGTCCCAGACCTAGTGGGTTAAACTCACTCTGGGTGTGCGCGCACACACGTGCAAAATCCTAAGAGGAGAATGGAGGAGAAAGGATTGTGGCATGGCCATACCCTCTGGGAGATGATTTTTTGCTTTCTGTCTCTGGTGAGCACACATGTCCTATACCAAGTTTAAGAAGAAAAATTTTTTTCATAGTGTTTCTGTGAGCTTTTTCAAGACACTCCTCCCCACATGCTTGGCTTGCTAATATAACCAGTGTTAAAGCTTTTATAAGTTAACTTGACTACTGAAATCATTCTCATTTTTCTTCCTAAAGACTATAAACTCTTGTAATCTCTTCTCATTTAAATTAAATTTCTTTTTTTAAAAGGTACAGTCACTTGGGACAAAGTGTTGTGATGGACATCCTTAGGTTTATACACTTCAGTAGATCTTAAAGACTTCTGTGTGTCACAGCACAGGAAAATTAGCAACCTAGAGGAAATAAGCCATTAAGTTTGGTTTTGTATTTTTTATTGTTAGAATTTATTTAATTTTATGTATCATTATTTTTAATTACTTTATTTCATTTTATTTATTTTAATTTGACCAGAGAGGGACAGAGTGAGAGAAAACAAGCCACCAGGTTTGGGACTTGAACTGCAGTCAGCCATGTAGGAGTCCAGCGCCCTTAACCACCACACCACCTGCCGGCCCCGGTTTTGCATTTTTTAAGGCAAGGAATTTTATAATCTGGTGTATTGAAGTTCTTAGGTATATTAGAAAAAGTACCGTGGGACCAGCAGTTGGTGTAATGGCAAGGTCCCTGGACTCACATGTAGTGGACAGCGGTTCGAGTCCCGGACCCAGTGGCTTAAACTCACCAGGCGCGTGAGTGTGCGAGCCTAAGATCCCAAGAGGAGAAGGGATTGTGGCATGCCCCCCCACCCCTATGATTTCTTCCTGTCTCTGGTGAGCACACACGCCCTATAGCTAAAACCACTCCCAAAAAGAATGTGAATAAGTTTGGCAAACAGTGGGTTAAATTTACATGTCATGGGGCTCTTCAAAAGGTTTATGGAGTGATGTTTGAAGCAACTGGGTCACACATGACTGCAGTTCGAGTCCCAGACCTGGCGACTTGTGTATTATAAGATTGGAGAAGATTGTGACATGGTCATCCCCCCACACACACCCAACGGTGCTTTCTCATTTCTTTTCTCCACTCACTCTGATCTCTGAGTGCATGAGCCCTGCAACAAATAAGTTTGGGGGAAAATGTGTATTTTAGAAGTCAAGGATTTCAAATACTTTTCGCCATAGTCATTTTATTTTCCACACAACTTTTGAGTTGTTTTTTTTTAGTTTTGCTGTAGGATGCGCGCATTCGCCAGAGACAAAGCGTGAAATCTCCCCCAAGGGGAATAGCCACACCACACTCCTTTTTCTTCCCTTCTCCGGATTTTTGATTTTCAGCACGGGTTCAAGTGGCTGATCTAGGACTCAAAAGTGCAGGGGACCAGACAGTAATGGCTATGTTGGTGGACTCCCATGTAGTCAACCGCAGTTTAAGTCGTCCCTTACTCGGTGACTTAAACTCACGCTGGGTGTGTGTGCACGTGTGCCCAAGATGCTGAGAAGAGAATGGAGGATAAGGGGTTATGGTGTG